GCTTCCCGACTTCACCCCTTTTCATTTTCCACAAGCCACCGAAGCAAACCAAAACCGTCAGAACACCAGGCATCTCCTCTGGATTCAGGATGAGCTTGAGGAAAAAACATCCCAGAGAAAGCGCAGCCTTTCCCGAGGAGCCCCCCACCCCCAGCCCTGCCTGGGGGGGCAGGAGGGGTGACCCCCACCCCGACCCTCCTCCGTCCCTCGCTCTAGGGAAGGGGAACGCAAACATTGACCCCAAAACATAGGAGTCAGAAGTGCTGAGCCCCAGCGCCCTCCCGGCCAGTGCACGCGGGAGAAAGGTCTGTCCATACAGCGTTCCAGCTGGGATACGTCGCAGAGGCCATTGGGATCAAACGGGAGGGAAATTCCCAGGACGCCCTGCGGAACAGGCCAGGGAACGTCGTCCTCTGTCTGCACTGAGCCCAGAGCGGCACCGTCGAGCGCTGCAGCCGTGTCACTGCCAACGAGAAAACAAAATCACTGTTTTCACACGTGTATGTTTAGAAACAGCAGGATGTATAATCTCCCCTTATGTGGTGATGGGTAGGAGGGACAAATAAAGCACATTCAGTCTGTTGCTCAGAGAACTTGTACAAATTTAGTGATGCTTAATATTTTTTCCATGATGTGAAGTTCCTTTTTTAACCAGGATTTTTCAATTTAACGTACTATTTGGGAGAAGAAAGAAGCCAATAAATGAAAATATACTCATTTTCTGCTTTGTATTAATCTTCAAGATATTTATTTTGTATTCCTGTAACTGAAAAACAACGGTTTAAATACATTTTAAGTTTTCAGAAGCTCACTCGTTTATAGCACCGATGTTCAGAGCCGCAGCCTGTAGATTAATTAATTGGAGCCCAGCAGACTGCAGCAGCTCCCACACTGGACGCGTGAGCGGCAGAGCGGAGTCGCAGCACGCACGCACGGCCGAAATCGCTGGCCTTGGGGGGGTCACCAAGTGGGAATCAGGGGGCTGGGCACAGCTGTGGGTGCCAGAGGCGTGCGGAATTCCATCCCGTGGAAGCTACTGTGTTACCATTAAAACTTTTTGCATGGAAACCCAGGAATGCTTATTTTCACTTTCTTCTTTCGGGTGGCTGTTACGCCAGCTGGGGAGCGACTGGTGAGGAAGAGGAGGGTTCCCCGGCGCTAGGGCTGGGAACAGCAGCTCTGCTCTCCGTCCTGTGGCTTGAGCTCAGTGCCAGCCAGCCTGAGCTCGAGCTCCTGCTCCCTAGTTTTGATGCTCTTCACCCCCAGCAGGAGCCTACAAGCAAATATACTGAGAATATTTAAAACAGACCTTCCAACGACGCTGAAGGGCGTTGAAACCTCTGGCCCAGAGGGGAGCACAGCGCTCTGCTCCCATCGACGTGGTCGGAAGCGAGTCCCAGGAGGCCAGGACGGGGCCCTGGTCCTGCTGCCAGTCTCAGCCCTTCCCGACGCGCCCTGGCACTCCCCTGCGCTATGAACCCTTCGGCTGCAGAGCGAGTGGGTCACGGCAATGGGTCATGGCAGTGGGTCCAGCCCCCACAGCAGCGGTGACAGCAGCACTGGCTGGCTCGTCATGGTTCCCCGGCACCTTCCTATGCACTAGAGAGGAACAAGAACACGCAACATGAAGATTCTGTCTGGTTTTAATCGCACACACGCTCAGTATTTGGAGTGACCTTGTGGAGGAGGAAAGGAATTCATGGCGTTAATGGTACCATCTTGCTTTGCTTTATACCAGTTCCCCTCCAAGGGTTTGCTTGCTCCTGTCTCCCCGAGCTCCACGTTTGTCTCCATCCCCCTCCCGCATCTCCCCGAGCTCCACGTTCATCTCCATCCCTCTCCTGCACCTCCCTGAGCTCCACGTTCATCTCCATCCCCCTCCTGCGTCTCCCCGAGTTCCACACTCATCTCCCTCGTCCTCCTGCATCTCCCTGAGCTCCATGTTCATCTCCATCCCCCTCCTGCATCTCCCTGAGCTCCATGCTCATCTCCATCCCCCTCCTGCATCTCCCAGAGCTCCACGCTTGTCTCCATCCCCATCCCTCCGTGGCGAGGCACGAGTGCTCCCAGAGCAAACTACAACCCCCAGAAAGGCTTCAGCATCTGGCAGCGCGTCACCATGGGCCGCCCCTCGGGTGCAGGTTTCAGTTGGGTGCTGGTGGAATCACTTTCTCCTTAGTCTCCCGACCCCCGTGTGACAGGACTGGGGGGCTGTCCTCGGCAGCTCCCCCCGGCGCAGCAGCCCACGTGCATCTCCCGCTCTCGGATGACGATTCCCGCAGCTCCCCACCTCAGCAGGACGTAATTCCCCCGAGGTCAGGCAACCTTTCCGATGCCAGAATCGCTGCTGAAGAATAACGGTTTCTGCCTCAAACCCAATATAGATTCTGGATACTTGGCAGGTGCCGCAGAGTCAATATTCTCTCTTCTGCCAGCAAAGCCTGGAGGGTTAACAAACTGCTTAGGGCTGAGTTCTGAGCAGGAGGATGCCCGAGTCTCACCGCAGGGATGTTTCCCAGGGCAGCACGCAGCAGCGAGCACTCGCCCAGCAGCGGCAGGGCTTCTGTACGCACCTGGCTCCCAAACCCCCCCCGCCCTCTGGGAA